TCGTTTAAAAGCAAAAATCAAAATAGTATTCAATTTAATTATTTTTATACAATTTAAGGGACTTATCATTCTGTTCCAAGACTTTTTTCAAAATATTCTTAAGGTGGTTGTGATACCAATAACACCAAGTCGAAGTTGTGGTTAATACAAAACTCTGTTTCCTCTTTTAATGATAAAACTTGTGTCATAAAACGGCAACTTGGATCAATTCAATTCCAAGTAAAAGTGATTGATTAACCAAATGCCCAGAATCCTCTCCAATGTTGTTAGTGAAGAACAATGATGTTTTAAGAAGTTCATATGGATTTAACTGTGTCACTTGAACTATATTTTACTCATATAAAAAATACTCTTATATGCTAATTGCCAATGAAAGTCAATATATATTATATCACGGTAAACAGACGACTTTAACTAAATACACACAAAGATTTGTAAAATAAGAACACGTTGATTGTCACTTGTAAGTGTGTGGATATCACAGAATATTCTTTTAAAATACAAAGAGAAATGAATACATAAACTACTTCAAACTTCGTGTATAAAATGAAACCGTCAGCAATTATAAAGTGTTTGGGAAGGTTTGTAATTATTTCGCCAATATAGACTAGTTTAAAACAACTAAAATAACAATGTTAAGGAATTTTCCAAAAGTCTACTTTGTAATTCCAATTTTTTTATATATTAATTGGACCATTTTAAAAAACATATAAGCTCAACTTTGTCAACAAAAATGTTTTGTTTTTGTATTACTACTAATAATAATAATATAAGATCTGTTGTTTGTTTCGTAATAAAACAAATTACATTTTTTGCAATATAAGTTTTATTCTCCCTATTAATATATTTTTGAAAGATTTATTTAAAGATTTACAATCATTCATTTGAATATACAAGTTTTTTAAAGTGATAGTTAGTTGAGGATAATTGTTCTGATGTCTCGGTATTTTTTTTCAAATTTAATTTAAATAACTTTCTTTGATACTTAAATTGATTTCATTATAATTTATCAATGTAAATACATAGAGGAACTTTTGGAAACATCATTATCAATCGAGTTGCCAACGAAGTGATCCAACACAATCAATTGTACTTGATCAAACATTAACTTTTTGTTTTTTGAGCTTTGGTTGAGTATTTTCAAGAGCTTCTGCCATATCAAAAACACTTTGAGTTCATTAATTTATTCTTTAATGGATTTTTCAGTATTATTTTATATCTTATTTGTACACTCATTAATCAAATATAAAACTATCTCGAGTTTTGAAGCATTTACAACATAACAACAGTCAAATTAGCTTTGTTGTAGAACTCTTTAAAAGGTGAAAATTTCCTTGCAAAAAGCAACTCCTTAACTTTTTATTGGAAATGTTTTATTGCTTGAATTGTCATTTTTATTAAATTATCTTATATATAATTCTATTTATATAACACTTGGGGGGGTTTGTCATGGCTGTACAAAATACAGGTTTATTTTCTTACACTCCTATTTCAAAATAATTTTTCATATTAAAATTATACAATTAAAATTATTAATTGTTTAATTATTATTTATAATTTATTGTTATTCAAATTATTAATTAATATAAATTAACTCTATGTAATAAATATGAACAATAAATAATTAAATATTAATTAAAAATATTAATAAATATCTTTTTGTATTAATTATTTAATTATTTAATATTATATTTATTACATTTAAAATATTCTATCATTAAATCGTGTTTTAATTATAGAACATTAAGGGGTTTTTCTCATGGCTGTATGAAATAAATGTTTTTCTTACTTAATTATAAAATAATAATAAGATATGATCATTATTATTTATATTACTATAATATATATTAATTATTATTTATTATTACTTTATAAATATTTTACATTTCATATTTCATTATTATATTATATATTATTATATTATTATATTATTATATTTTAAATTTAATTGTAGTTATTTACTATTTAACTCAAAATTTATAGTTTTTATGAATAATCATTATATTAATTATTATATCTATTCTTTATAACACTTTCCTGTTTAATCATTTTTACTTAAATCGTGTTCTATTTATAGAACATTAAGTAGTCCTTGTCATGGCTGTATGAAATAAAGTTATTTAATTATCTTACTTAAAAAATAAATAAATTTCTTCAATTACAAATATCTATATTTTCTATTATTAATTAAAAACTAATATTTTTTGACTTTATATCACTTAATTCTATTATATTAACTTGTTATTATTTTTATGATGACGTGGTATAAACTCACCATTTTACACAATCTTACATTTAAGTAATCTCTGTTCCCAGGAGGTGGGTAGGGGGGCCGGCTTTAGGAGCCTCCACGTATACTTTGACTTTTAACGAAATTGAAGAAATTGATAAAATCAATTTCGCTAAATAATTAAATTGATTTATTCAATTGTTTTTTATTTTTATTTTTTTAATAAAAATAAATATAAAAAATGAAATATCATTAAATTATCTCATTCGCTTCGATGAACTAATGTGTTTAATAAGAAAGAATCTTTACCAATATATTTGACACTTGATGGTATTGTAATACCACTCAATCTACTACATCCACTGAAACAATGATCACCAATTGATGTCACACTTGATGGTATTGTAACACTGCTTAAACTTTTGCATTTATAGAAACAACGATCACCAATTGATGTCACACTTGATGGTATTGTAACACTGCTTAAACTTTTGCATCTATTGAAACAACTATCACCAATTGATCTAACACTTGATGGTATTGTAATACTACTTAAACTACTACACTCATAGAAACAACAACCACCAATTGATGTCACACTTGATGGTATTGTAATACTGCTCAAACTACTGCATTTATAAAAACAACAATAACCAATTGATTTTACACTTGATGGTATTGTAACACTACTTAAACTACCGCAAAAACTGAAACATTTATCACCAATTGATGTCACACTTGATGGTATGTTATTACCAAATTTCTTTCTATCATTTTGAGTGTAAGTGACATTTTTAAACTCGATGTTTCGATTTTTGTTTCTGTCAACAGTTTCAAAGTCAACATTGAACCACACAATGATTCGAAAGAATTCTTTCTTTAAAACAACCTTTATTTTCACAATTTCCATTTTCTCTGTGTTTATCATAAATCCATTGCCAAAATTCTCATCCTTTTTATCCCACAAGTGAAGTGTCTCGATGTTTGGAAAGTATCCAAGTGTTTTGGAATTTAACGGAATTGGGTTGAAGTGAAACTTCTCCATATTACCTCTAAACTTCTTGCATACCAACCCCAAGTTAATAAAGTCTCCAAAGTCGTCGAAGTACTTCGAGACTATCATGATGTGATAACCAGAAAGTCCACGCATTTTGATATTCACAGTTTCTAGGTCTTTAAATATTTTTGAAATTCTTTGAATAAACATTTTTAATAAATTATCTAATTAAAGTCATTCAACGTTACTAACTATTAAGGAAATATCGTAAAATATACTATTCTTAAACAATAACTTTATAAATTAAATATAATATAATTATTTAG